GGATATGAATTAAGGTTTTTGAAGGATGCCTTATTGCTTTTACTAGCATCCCTCACCTTGCTATTTCACCATGTCAACACTTCTCTGCTCTTCCTAGTCTTTTTTGACAGGTGGAAAGCATTTACTTTAAGCCTCTGCTGTATCTTTAAATAGGTCTCATGCTTTTGATTCAGTTGTCTGATAAAAAAAAAAGGATAATGTAAAACTAATTTAAAAAATTCAAATGCTGTTAATGTCCCAAGGGACAATGAAGACATAGATCCTTCAGCTTGCTTGTAGGGGAGGTTGATAAACCCCCTGGAGTCAGTGGCTGGAGGGCCTGTGTCCAAGACCAGCTCAGATATGGTGCATCCGTATCACTGGGGATCAGACTGCTGTGCGAGAGGACTGTGAAAATTCTTACCAGGACCTCCTCTCTGTTGGGAACTGCCTTTGAGCTCAAGCCCTGTTCATTGCCAGAGCCACGCTGTAGCTCTGTCTGTGCCTGGCCATGTTTGATGTCCCAGTCCTGACCAACCAGTCTCATCACTGCAGACTTGTCCAGTGATTGGGCCTGACACCGGTCATTGCCCCTGGACCTTCTTGTGTGGGGACTGGGGAAAGTGCGCTTTGTTGGGAGATGGCAACACTTCCCACCTTGGAGCCAGCTCACCTCACCTTGCAGAGCCACCACTCTCCTCCTGAGTCCGTGGTGAGGAATGACAGACTCTGGGGTGGCACAGCAGAAGCTGGTGTGGGCAAAGTTAGCCGTTAACTTCATTAAACACAGCCGCACCAGGAAAGTTCAGGCTGGAAGATTCCTCTTTTCTCTATTTTATTTGAGCGCTGAAGATCTGTAAAGCAAGTGCAAGCTCCTGTCAAACCTTGCTCTGGGACTGCAAGCTGTTGGGGTGAACAGGATGTCTGCAGGGTAGGATCACTGCCTGCTGGCCTGCACCAGGAGAGTGTGTCCTCAGCGTTAACGAAGATCTGAGTTTGATCCCAAGCAAATCACGAACATTAAACTCCTCAGAAGTAGCCATTTCTGTAGTAATAGCTAAATTATAGCCCATATGCTGAATGAAACCAAATTAGGTCTCCATGTTTAGTATTTATTTGGGCAATTTCACTTAACCTTGCCATCTTTTAATTCCTTTTATACCTTGATTTAGTAATTTCTGAATTTTTTTATAGTTCCATTTATTGAGAAGACCACAAAAGATCTGAACTGAGTAATTTTCTGTTTCTGCAGTTTTGTACTTTAATAGCAACAGAATCGTCTCTACATAAACTCTTTAAACAATAAACTTCTTTGTCTGCAGTGGTTTAGATGTTTATCATCTTTGTAGCACTTCATTTGCAGGACACAGTACCATCTTCACAAGAAGTTGAATTGATTTGTAGTCAAAGTAGTGATTTTGGTTACTTTTTGATTTTGCAAGAAAAAAGGTAACTTTTTAAAGAGACAAGACATACTGTAATAATGCAGAAAATACTTAAAATGGTAATTTATCAAATTAAGATCTCAGTTTGATTGGACAGTGAAATGCTGGACTGTATATTAATATCAGCCCTTAAAAATTGCCAACAGTAATATACTTACTTTTAAGGAGCTATACTTCACAGGAAAAATTAGGCTATATTCCAGCCAGTTAGTGTCATGGAACAGATAATTGAATTCCTTGCTTTCTTGTCAACCCAGTAATACCATGTAACTCTTTTTAAGTGTTCATGTAATCAATGGTCTTTATGCTGGTATGCATTTAATAGACTGAATAATTTTTTCTTTGAAAACCAGTCTTATCAGCATTTCTTCTGTTCTTACAAAGTCTTCAGGAAAAAGTTGGATTTTTGGAATCACGTGCCACAGGTTACATGCAGCTTAGAAACAAAATTCACTAAAAAGGTGATACAGGTTTGTGCTTTGTTTTCATGCAACATTTTTTGAGGAAGGTAAAAAAGAAGTATATTTTGAAAGAAATGGAGCCACTTACTACCACATCAATGGAAAGAAACAGAGCAAAGTTCATCAGTACATATTGCTCTTCGCTGCAGTTACTTGTCTGGTCCTTTGAAATGTAGTATCATGGTTATGGGAGCAAAATCAGTTATCAAAGGCAGCCGTTGCCATGACTGCTAAGGCACAATTAACTCTTGCAATGCATGGGAAAGAGCTAAAGAGAGTGACTGATGGCAGCTGCCTATGCCAATGCCACCGTCCTACTACATACATGGATGACAAAGGAATTGCTCTTGTTCTATACCATGATTTTCAGGCTTAACAAAATGCAGCACATACTTCAAAGCGAGAAGTTTTCCAGGGACTTTCAAACAGCATCTCAAATTTGGCTTCAATTCTCCACAGATACAAACTAGAATATCCTGATGCAAATTGAATATGGTCTTGCTAAGATGGCAGCAGCCACTTAAACAGTTCCCTTCCATCCCCCTATCATAAGAATTTTTTTCATTGTTTATGAATTGTTTAACATTGTCTGGGCAGTTTTGTACTGTCCTGTTTAAGCATTTTATTGGCAATGAGGAAGGGCATAAATTCTGTTACTGCAAGTGGGAAAGAAACATATGCTTAATATGCAGCTGGAAAATAATAATTTTTAAAGCCCTTCACATTCAAATTAACAAGCTTCCTCCCCCTGCTTTCCTCTGTATCCCTAAAAAATTGCTGGTCCTGCTGTAATGCAACAGTATCGGGGACGGGGGTAGGGATGGCGGGGGGAGAGATAGGAGGAACTGCTAAGGCTTTTCAGATCTATAGCCATGGAATGGGCAAGTCCTGTATGGGGACACCCCTGTGGGGCACACTAGAAACCAAGACACTAAACTCATCCAAATCAACGGGAAATAAAATAAGGATAAAGGAGAGGCATAGGAGCTCTCTAAACCAGCTTTACCACCAAGGCCTCATGGGTGGAGGAGCACCAGCCATGTGCTCATACACACCAGCTTTGGTTTGCAGCAGCTTGTAGACACACAAGACCTGCTGGGCCTTTCAGCACTTGTCAATATCAGCCCATATGCATGCCCTTCTCCTCTTTGCTCCCAAATCTTCTGCTTGTCAGGGCCCATCATCGTATGGGTGTTTGCAACTAGGCATTTCTTAATTAACTATCAATAACCATGAAAATCGACCCTGAGTCTTCAGTGCTCAAACTTGCACAGATTTTCACCCTGGGTAATTTGCTACCGATTCAGCAGTACCAATTTTTCTATTTAACACCAAAGCACTATATCCTAATACTGTCCAGACAGAAGCTAGCGAGACAGGAATAAAACAAGCAACTGGGCTGCAACATGAAAGTGAGGTGCTAGCCAGCAATTGGGGCGTGAACACAGAGGTATGAATAGTCCTGAGTCACTTCTACTTTTCTCACGGTGCTTTGTTGCCACCTGATGGCCTGATGCAAGATTGCAAGAATGAAATTTAAAAAGGTACAGTCTTTAAGAAAGAGGTGTTTTACATTTCATTAGATCCACTGATAGCTTTAAAAAAAAGCTTTTCACCTCGAAGACTTCTCATGCCCTGCTAACACAAGTCTTTGCTCCGCAGGTAATAGATTACGTTTCTTCGAAGTGACAGTCATAATTTCAATATCCACAGAACAACTATAATTTATTTCTATTTAGCAGGAATTTATCTTTGTCTTTTGCAATTTCCTTCCTTAAGATGATGACAAGATATCTGGAAGATAATGAAGTCATCAGGTCTGGAATGGCCACTAACACAGTAATGCTGGGATACTTGATCCATCTATCCTGATATTCCCCCACTAGCCATGATAAGCACTCCAGTTGCCTCTCACCCTGGCCCTCCTGACTGCAGAATCAGGTTTTCCTTGTGTGACATAATCAACGTCCTGCTTCAGGTGTGGTGTTGAACCACAGGGATGCTCTGCAGGCACCCTGGACGATCCTGACCACATGATTTGCACATCTTTTTGTCCCCTTTCCCATTTCTTTTCCCGTTTCTTGATCTCCACTCCAATTCTCCACTCCAATTCCCTCTCATTTAAACAATTCACCTCTGATTATCTTTTCCCTAAAGATCCTAGTTTTCCTTCATGCATATCCAGCTTTTGTATTTTTGACACTTGCCTAGGTCATCTTGGCCCTATATAGCATTAGTGATGCTGCTGGTCTTGCAAAGCTTTGCTCCCCAAAAGGTTCTCAGTGCTCCCTCCAACCATTTTTGAAGTCTGGCTGTTTTTCACATCACTCCCCCCTAAGCACTGGTGAAACCCAGCCATCCCTCATGGCGCTGTCTGTAAGTTTTGTTGGCACCATACATTGTTATCGGTTACATGCAGCAAATTATTGTGTCCAGCCACTGTCAACATCCTTTTCAATGAGTGTAACCTCAGGTCAGGACCTGCAGCCCTAAAAGCGTTTTTTTTTTTCCCTGCTCATTCCAGCTGTTTTAGCAATGTAAGGAGCTCTTACTAGCTGCTCAATTTCTCTTAAAAATACTGAGGCTGAAATGGTTTGGAACTAAAGGATTGGGCTCTACATTTATTGCTCTGGTGAAATTCTGGTGGCTGATGGGTGGGCTCTGCCTTGGAACCATCGACGTGGTTGACAGAGGTAAAGGGAACATGAGTTAACTCATAGAATCATAGAATGGTTTGGGTTGGAAGGGATTTTAAAGATCATCTCATTCCAAGTGCCCTGCCATGGACAGGGACACCTTCCACTAGACCAGGTTGCTCAAAGCCCCATCCTCGTCTGGCCTTGTCTGGTCATGGGTATGCATATGAAAGGAAAGTATAGAAACTGGCAGTTGTCACCTGTGACCTTTACTGGCTTTTTATGTAGATGGATGAAGATGTTACAAAGTGGAGGAGCACCAGCCATGTGCTGGTACACACCAGCTTTGGTTTGCAGCAGCTTGTAGACACAAAGAAAACAATGTTACTTATTGACACTCTGAGGAAAGTGGCTGGGGCACAATCTGCCAGCTCTGCTTGCAAGATCGGTTTCCACAGGCTGTTTTCTTCTGGGGTGCTCTAAAGTGTTTCTTGAATCCACAGTCGGAGAACTTCTTCTGAGGGCATCACACACACCATCAGATCACATTGCTCAGCTTCTTCACTGCCACACAGTATCAGCTGGGTGGGGGCCTCTGATACTTTCTGTAAAACAAATGCACGCACTCACCCTCAGGCTGATGAATTTGTCTGTCTGTCTTCTACTTTTCCCCACAAACCGTTCTTCTCATCCTTCCTGGCACAACTGCCCAGAGACCCAGGGCTCAGGAACCCACAGCCACAAAAGCTGCTGCCTGCATTCTCACTTGAACTGGACAGCACATTTAAGCTACTGACTGAAACACACTCCTCCTGAGTGAGCGAGAAAAGAAGCTGCTTTTGATGATTGATTTCTCCTCACCAAGGAGTTGAGAAGCTCAGTGCTGGAACCACAACACATGGAGCACTGTTGCCAATGACGCAGCTGTTTTTTTCAGGGAGCAGCTGGTCAGGCAGGCTCAGTCCATGCCTCCCAAGCTGCTTCCCCACAAGCACCAGCAGCACCTTCCCTGTTCAGGGCTGTAGGCCGAAGGCAGTGACAGCTGTGCAGCTAATTCATGTGGGCTGCTTGACCCCTGCAGCTCAGCCCATCACACAGGAATGAACAAGCCTATGCATGTGTCTGCTTTTTCTGCCTGCCCCATGACCCTGTGACTACCCAGCACCCTAAAAACCGATAAAGCACAGTAAAAAATCTTACCAGTGTGTCTGGCAGGACAGCAACAGGGCAGCAGGAATACTGAAAGATTTTACATGTTTTCCAGGTAAGGAAAGGCAGGGTCAAAGCAGCCACAGCTAAGCCAGCAGAGGAGATGAGGGCAGTAACCAGCCACATGGATGTGCCACCTAGAAATAACAGAAGCAGCAAAACTCCTCAGAGAGACTGAGGACAAACCACTCAATGCAGTTAGCCTGCACCCTCTGTGGCTGCTCTTCCCACCCACCTTGGTGAGATTCTTTGTCGGCACACTCCAGGTAGGATACCAGTGCCAGTGTAGGGGGCTGCACTCCTGAGTCTTCCTTTTTTACCTCCCCCAAGGAACAAATGGGCAGCACATTTGCAAACAAGACTGGAGTTATTGAGTGGAAATAAAAGGAAGAACTGCTGGGGTATCCTTCTCGGGCATGACTACACCAGGGGAATAGGAAGGAAGGCTGACTGTTACCTTGTGCTCTCACGCACTGTGTCTGGCTGAAGCTGCTGCTTCTGTTGATCGCCTCAACATATGTCTGAGCTTTTACACAATAATCAGGTCCTGCCTCCATGGTGTCCAGGTGAACCACAGAGCTGACCTCTTTCACCACCTTCTGCTGTATCTGCCACAGACCCAGGAGAGAGAGCATTAGAACACAGGGCAAGGAGCTAACTGAGAACGGGAGTCCTAATGTGATGCTGTCCCAGACTTTACTGGGAGAAAAGGAAGGAGCAGCAGGAGGTGTCAGAGAGGACTGTGTGAATAAGAGGAGAGAGGGAGAAAAGCAGCAAATGAGGAAGCACAGTGGAGTGCAGAATGAGACCGCACACATCTGGAAGGGTAGGAAGGGATGGAAAGAAGGAGCTGTGAGCCAAAGAGCCATAATGGTGATGTTGGGCCACAACACCTCCTCCCCTGGTGTAAGGGCTTGATGACTAAGGTCTTCACTGATCTGAGTCTTTGCTGGGGTACCAAAATGACACTAGAGCACAAAGAGAGGATGGATTGGGCTAGTGAGGAGCAAGTGAATTTGGCGTGTGCAACTGTAACACATTTCAGCAACCCTCAAACAGCATATGACCACCAGTACACTATTTTTTTGCAATAAATAGGACTCAATTAACTGCTGGCAAAATGAAGTTGTTATTCCCAGAATTCCTGGTCCTGAGAGGACAGGTAACAATTAGCTAGTTGATCCTAATGTTGCTGTGTTGCAGATGCAAAGCCTGTGCTCACGGAAGAGCTCATTAGCCTCCAGCATCACACACATACAGACACCTCCAACAACCCAGTAGGGTTCTCCTGGCAGGGCAAGTCCTTCTCACCATCAAAATATCCTCCTCCACAGAAAGATGATCTTGAGGGCCATTAGTTTAAAAAGATTTCAAGGACAAAATCAGGTCAATCACTACTGGGGGTGTGTAACCTCTTGCAAAAACCTCAAGTCAGACATGTCAAATGTGATAATTATTAAAAAAAAAAATTAAAAGAGTCCCAGCAGAGAACTGGACATGTACTGACCAGCAAACCTGATGCTTGTGACAGTCCAGTTGGTAGAAACTATTCTGAAGTTTGGAATTAATGTTTAGGTGATTAATACCATATACTGAAGAAGAGTTAACATTTAATTCATAAAATGCAGTCAGACACAAACCTATATGATTCTTTCTAAGGTGTCAGAAAGCTCATGGACAAGGTTGATCTCATTTACTTGGATTTCCAAAAGGTAGTCAAGAAGATCTATTTCAAAAGCCTATTAAGCTAACAGCCATGGGATAAAAAGGCATTGGACCTCTGAGTGCACTAACCAGGCTGCAATGGCCCTGACCAGCCCTGCCTGCCCCCTGCATCTTCAGCCTTCTGTCCATGGCCCAGGAGCCCCATTTAAGCTCAGCCCAGGGCCTTCAGTCCCAGTCTGAGCTAAGCTGGAGTTGTGCCTGTCTCCAGCTCTGTCTCCTGGATGGACCCTTGGTTAAGTACATTGCAGCCTTGTCCTCCAGCCCTGTCTCTGGTCCTCCTTTTGCTCCTGGCTAGGGTCTCTGTATGGACGCTGGGCATTGTTCATCACTTGTCTTGTCTGGGGCTGGTGATGGACCCTGTTACCAGTACCTGATTCTGCCTACTGTGGTCAGACCATGTGGGTCTGTGCTTCATTGGGGAGGGCACTGCTTGCACTGGGATCACCCTTGACTCCCGACTTCCTGCTCATAGTGAGCAGACCTGCTCCTGCTGCTTCCTGATAGAAGAAAGACTTTTGTATTATTAAATTGCTAATCCTTTCTCAGAGTGGAAGGAAGTCATGGTGGAGGCCCATGCAGATCTGTGCTCACCACTGTGTTACTACAGATGATCAGGAAGAAAAATGAAAACTAATACATGCTAATGATACTAAAAAACCACTTCAGAATAATAAAGATGACAGCCAACTGTGAAGAACTGCAAGAGGATCTTGTAATAAAATGACAAATTAAATTCAACACAGATAAAAGTGAAATGATACTCATGGGAATTTTTCCCCTTCATTTTTACAGTCAGTGACTGGACCTTAAATTGAGCATCCCCCACCAGAAACAGGAACATGGGGTTCAGGTTTCATGGGATAGTCAGCTGTGTGGTAGTCACCCATGTCAACGATTTCTGAGAAAAGACAAGACTGTGAAGACCTGTTTTGTTTTATGGTGCTAACTCATAGTGCTCCTGCACCTTGAACTGTGCAGGTTTACTCCCTGTCCACCTTGGTAAAGGCAAAAATAGCTAGAAGGGCTTCCACAGGGAACAACTAAGTAGTCTGGGAGTCCTTGGCCTGGAAAAAAGATACACTGTTAGAGTGGTGAGGAAAGTGAATAGGGAATAACTGTTCTCTGTCTCTCTCTCTCCCCTTTAAACCAAGACTGAGACTGCACAACACTTAAGCTGCAGAACTCCTGACTACAGGAAGTTGTACATGCTAAAAGTTTACATAGCTTGAAAACCAGAACAGATTAATGGAAAAAAAATCATCGGGGCTATTAATGATATCATTTCTGGCTCAGGAATTTCCTGGAGCTGTGTCTCTGAAATCTCAGAAAATAATCTAAGTGTAATTACACACAGGGTGTCTCCTTACTATCTTCCTTGGTCATCTCCATTGCCCACTGGCAGAGAGAAGATACTGGGTTTGACTGTCCCTGACTTTATATGGCTGCTTTTATGTTCTTAGGTGCTATGGAAGCACCAAGTTCCTGGGAGGAAAAAAAAAAAATCGATGTCTAGTGAAAACAGAAGGACCTGAATGGAACATAAATTGTCACTACTGCAGTATTATCCAGGTGTAAGCAAAACCCTCAGCTAAGCAAGTTACAGCTCACTGTTCCAGGCAAGCTGTTTTACAAAAAACTTGTGAGAAAACTTTGTCAGCACCTCAGTGTAACACCTTAATTGTGGTCTGAGTAAACCAAATGATGTTCAGAGAAGAAGGTCAGCATAAACACCTTCAGTTCCTGACTTCTGGTTTCTTTCAATAGTTGACATCCCTGGGGTGATTCCTCTTCTCAGGGAAGGAAATGTGGAAAGAACAGACAAGCTTCTCCATGGGGGTAAGAGCAACCCACTGGTATGTGTAGAGGAATATGGCACATACTGATGCCAGGCAGGCCCTCAAGCCTCATAGCAGGAGCTTGGACTGGCAAACAGGCCCTGGGCAATGTCTGTATGCTTTCACTCTAAGTATGTGGGCTCTCTGTTATTGCCCAAAAACCCGAGGGTAAAACTCACCCTACTCTCCTGGCCCTTCTTCCAATAGACAACACAAAACTGAAAGGCAGGCCCCATGTCTTCCAGCTCCACTAGTAAATGATACCCATCTGCTATGACCTTCATCAGAGGCGGGGTCAGGAAAGCTGCCAACACAGAGAGAGCACCATTATCACATCAGAGGCAACCCTTAAAAACTGTCTTCCTTTTCCCAGCTAGGAGAGGAAGAGAAGCTGACATCTTGAGCACAGTAACATTAATCTGGAATAATAGCTGGTTGTTTCAGTGGGGTAGAAACTTCTCTCTGCTCTACCTCCTAGTATGTCTAGATACAGTAGCAGACTTTAAGCAGGAGGAAGACCATGACTGGCATTGCTAATAGGAGTTTGGCAATAGCTGAGTTGCACAGAACTTGAAAGGTTTTGAATTTTCTCCAGTGTGATCAACAGCAGCAGAACCAGCTGGGCGACCAGAAGTTGAGACACCAGATCAGGCCAGTTCTTCTGCTCCTGGGCATTAGCTTAGCACTAACATACAGAACAGGAGCTGTGAAACCACTGCTTCTTCATGGGAATTTTGGCACTTATTCAAAGGTGAAGGAAAAAGCAACATGAGCCTCAGGATAACTCTGGCAGTTCATATGAATCCTGATTTTCCTTTAGTATCTACATGGTTTTAGATAGACTTGGGCTGATGACCTGCTGTGACTTAAGTTTTTGTAAATGTATGCAAGTAAATCTGTAGGTGATTTGGTTCTTCCTTACTTTGATATTCAAAGCTTGATTTGGTCTGGGATTCTGCTGTGAGGAGTACTAGTGAAACAATCAGAGTCAATCAAGCATGGATGAAACTGCTCACTGTACATTTGTTAATTGGGAATTAAGGCAGTACAGAGATCATATTTGCACTACTTATCTATGCCTTTCTTTACCACTCTATTGTTGCTGAAACTGGTTTCAACCTCCTTGCTTTCAAGAAAGAAAGGAAAGCAATGTATAGCCACATACAAAAGAGATGTTCTTAATAGAATTTGCTCTTACATCCAGTGAATTGCCACCAATACTGAGCAATATGAAAACATAAAATCCAAGTATGTTCATGATGAATGTGACACAAATGAGAGGCCTGGAAAACTACGTTATACATTTAAATTAAAAGCTGAGAATCGGCTTAACACAATGTCTCAAAATAAAAAAAAGTGATAACATCATTTGGAGGTTAAAAAAAAATACTGGGCTAATGTATTAACAAATGGACACTGCAACTACTAACCAAACAGGAGCACTTATATTTATCTCTGTGCTGGCACACTGGATACCAACTAACCTTTTGAATTTTGATAAATGAAGAAGTAAGACTGAATAAATTGTTAGTTTTAGGAAGATCTTTTAAAAGTGTTTTCCATGTGTTATCATACTTTATGTGTATCTACACCTAAGGCTTTGACATTAGAGCTATTTAGTCTAGAAGTACTGTGGGCTGTGCTGATGCCCTGACTGTCTATGAACCACATATGGAACCTGTGGGTTGTGCTTTGAATTCCTTAGTTCCTCTCAGACTTAATGCCAGGTTTCCTAAGAGATGTGAAAGCAGAGACAAGGGAAAGTGAGCAGTAAAAATGCATAAGGACAAGAACTTAAGTGACTTTTCTTTCTCCTTTAAACATTTTTCCATATATGCATATTCGCACTGCAGCCCATTGAAGCTGAATCCTCTGAACTTTTACAGCTTAGCCAGAGGATTGTTTTGAGGTCTCTAAGACACAGGACCAAGCTGTCAAATACTTCACTGTACCATGAGAAAGTTGCTGCTTTTTTTCATTAAGAGGGTTAAGCTGAGGAATATCCTTCCCCTATCTCTGCCTGACAGTGTGGTCTGTGTCTCAACTTTCTGCCTTTGTAGCTGCTAGAAAAGGGAAAGATTTTTCATGGCTCAACTCTATGCCACCATAGCTCCTGGAAAAGGGAAGGATTTTTCATCTAAAGTGCTATCTAGAAAACATTTCCACACCAAGAGACACACTCACCAACTTAGGCAGCACTTCTGAGAGGGCTGCTTTGACTAAGCGCTCTGTATGAGTGAGGACTGCTCACTCATGAAGTAGTAGATAACTTCCAATGACTGATGAAGGTTTAAGATCGGGTCAACTGTGGACTCAGAAAATTTCTTCCCTGGCTAAAACTGATGACTGCTGCCCATCTCAGACTCAGAGTTGCACTCTAATAGTGACCTCAGCAGAGGTTTTCCACCATGTTTTTTATTGTTGAAGGCACTTGACGACATAGCAGAGAACAGAGGTAATGATTCCAGAGAAACACTGGAAATAGTATGCTAATTTTAGCCTGCAACATGATCTTTGGGTTGACCTGGGCCTCAAGCTTTGCAGGAGTTGGAAGGAAATGGAGAGAATACCCTGCATTGCTAGGACTGCAGCAATGCTACTGTTTCCATTTTTCATTCCTCTTCTGAGGTTACTTCATGAGGCAGAGAGAGGGTGTCATGGTTGTTTTCTAGAGTAAGTGCTTCCATAGGATCAGGTTCTGGACCCTCAGAAGTGACTAGATGACATGGATTAGATGGAGCATTGACAGCAACCCTGATTGATCAGAACTTTTTGAAATCAGGGGCAAGAGTGGCCAACATGCCAAAAGAAATGCCTATAGTCCTCTTACCTATCTTTGAAGCCCTTGAAATTCAAGCCCTGGTAAATTCAGCCCTGCCTCAGGAGGAACTCATACCCAAGAACACAGCATGGCTGTCTAAGAGTGTAACATCCCAACCCAGTATGACAGGACCTGAGAAGTAGTGTGTGCTCTGTGTGTTTATGGGCTTTGTGTGACATGCACAGTACACAAACATGCACGTCAGCAATCCCTCAACACCAGAGTCTGAGAAATTAACGTGACCGATGTAGCTTAAGCCAAATAGCAGGACTCACTTGTGACACGATTGAAGAAACCTTTCAGGGTGCCCCACTCTGATCTTCTAGTACCAACATCTGCCCTTACACGCAGGTTATAGGCCACAGTGGCTGAGATATCCTCTGTGATGTTACACACTGTGGCTGTGATGAGTGAACATTCAGAGATGGGAATCCAGCTTTCATTGGCGTACTCTCGTTCGTACTCCCTGAGGAAAGGAAAAGAAAGCAGACAGGCAACAGTCTGATAGGAGATGTATCTGTGACATGGGCTAAGGCTGCTTACTGCTTCTTTCCAGCTAAAACCAGTACTGGGATACATTGGGGCTGGAATACCAGGGGTGTATAAAACCAGTATGGGTGTGTTTTAGATCTTATCAAGAGAAAATCTCCCAGAGCCAGCTTGTTCATGAGCCAAATGCAGCATGATATTGTAGGAGGTGGGGATAGCCAACGCAGTGTTAATGCATCAAATCCTGCCCACTCACTTGACTTGATCATCCCTGGTAAACCAGAATTCCAAAGCCATACTGTGATACAAGCCATTGCTCAAGATTATCAGAAACCTCCTGTAATGTGGTTTAAATGTTTAAAAGATTAATGCTGAATAAATCTCAAATGTTTTCTCTTTCCTCTTCTAAATAAACTGTTGCTAATCTTCCTAACTTTTGAATTCTTTGGACAGAGGCAGTTTTCATATGTGGGCTTAATACAAACCTTGGATTATTCAGGTATCTATTAACCTGTAAACAGTTTCAGAATCAGAGCAAAAGGATACACCACCCCACCCCTCCCCCCCTTGTGATCAACAGTGCTGGATTATCAAACTTCTTTTGCTTGTGAACTGAAGAGCACTCAAGACATCCAAACAGTGCAGGATTTTAAGTCTAAGTAAACACTGTTTAAAGAGCAAAGAAGAAGAAAAAAACCCCAGAAGTTACCCCTGAAACTCAACAGAGTATCTCACAGTTTCTCCCTGGATGATCACAGGACTCCAAGTTAAGAAGTGTTTCATGTTGGTAGAAAGAATAGAGATATTCTGAGGTGCTGGCAACAAAGCATCTTCACCTAAAATTCCCAGCAAAAGAAAAAAAAAGAAAGAAAGAAAAAAGGTATATGAATGTACTAGGAAAAAATTTAGACGGATAGTGCAAAACTGGGTTTTGCATCAGAAATACACACTCTTCATTTCACTACTGTCACTTCAGTGTTTGAAAGTATTTTAGAGAGAAGAAGAAATGACAACCAAAGAGCCAATGACAGAGCAGTTAGGCTGGCACTGCTTACAGAAAGGCAAAGCATGCCTTTTAATTATTTCAGAGTTTTTCATTCTATCAGTAAAACAGTGAGAAAAGTTCAAGCTTTTATAAAGCCATCCAATTCAATTTAATGAAGTCAAGTAACAGATACTCTGTTGCATCCCATAGACTGTTCCAATGGATGTAATGGTTCAAAATGTGCTATTTCTTTCCAGGCTTGACTGGACTGGACACTGTAGAAGATCCTAGCTCTGTTACAGCTTTTTTCATGTTGCAAGATTCTAATAAGTTCTTGTAGGCTGTAATCAAAGTACCTTTTAACAGAATAAACTTATTCAGTGGACTATAAATGAAATTATTACATTACTCTGAGATTGTCAAAGCATAAGCACGGGATGGTACCAACAGTGTAGTTAATTTTATCCTGTGGCATCTTAATGTAAAATCTGTAGCAGTGTTTGGACCAGAGCACAGAAGGCACTGTGCACAATCTGCACTACACTATGGGAACAGACTTATCTCTGTTCTGCTACTTTCCAGTCCCAAGAAAATTATGTTTTCTCTGCTTAGCAGGGAATGGTTCCCAAGGAACCATTGGAAGGGAGGAATAGATGGAGCAGTTTCAACCAACCCAGTGTAGCAGTGGTCATTTCAACACTCTCCCAGAAACAAGGTAACTGTTCTATCACAATATATCTATGTTACCTAAAGTTTATTTCAAAATTATTATTTTTTTAATAACATCTATTTAACTTAACAAGGTCTATCTTCCATTAGGCTTTAACTGTCATTAAAAGAGGGTATCTTCTTTTAAGCTGTGTTTACAAAGTTAACCAGCTAATGTCAGTTATTCTACCCAGGATCAAAACTAGGTTGACAAGTCCATGAGCAATGTTTTCATGATTATTCTTTTAAAGCATTGGAACAACATTGGTCTTCTTTCTGCCCTTAGAATATTCCCTGTATTCATACCTTTATAAAATCACTAATGACGTGGAGAACCTTGATGCCAACTCTTCTATGAATTCTTTGGCATGTTACATGGATCTGTTGACACAATGCTCAGCAGTTCTTTAAACTAAAAGTCAGATATCTCTGGGATGAGAAGCTTTATTCCTTGACATTTAGATAGCAGCAGAGTCACTGTCTGCCATGTCAGCAGTTTTATCACTACTGGCTGGTTGGAGGTCCCTACTAGTGTCAAGGCACTTTTTGTCTTTAAAAAAAAAAAAAAAAAAGTCTTTATTGACCTTTGCTCTGCAGCTTAACCACCCATTTGGTCTCTTGTATTCTCCATGTTTCTCAACATTTAGAATGTTTGCTACTACTTTTCCTTGTACTCTTGGTTCCCATGTTAATTTTGGGAGTTGGCATACCTAAGTATGTGAATTACGTAACAGACTTCGGTTACATGATCAGACACTAGTTTTTCCACATGACTCACACACATAAAGATGTTCCAGGTCTGAACAGGGGTGAACTGCACTGGAGTGTTTCCTACATTTTTAAGTCCTTGACTTTAGGACTTTATGGATATATATTTTTTTTTTTTTTGTATTCAACAGTACTGAACCCTATCTTATTAAACTGTCTAGAAACCAATTTTAAAAGAAGAAGAAGATAGTTCTGAATTGGACTATCTACCTTTTAATGGCCTAAAGATTATTTTGTGTCTGGTTGAGACCAATCTTCATTTCCTGGCTATGCTTAGCTTAGTACACTGTTCTCCTGGTTTGCTGGCAAAACCAATGACTCTCCTACTGGCAGAGTGAGACCTGTGACCTCACTTCAGCTGAACCACAAAAGTTCATATAGAGACTCTAAGGTTTCTTTCTTCATTTCATTAGGAAAAACTCTGGGCCTAATGACAGTGTATGTGTCTCTAAAAAAAATTCGCTGATGTAAATTTCTGTTTGGTATTAACAGATTCAGGATGGGCACAAATTCTGCTACTTGTAAGAACTCTTCTCCAAGAAAAAAAAAGATATATAAACCCCCAATGCTCATATGTGTTATCTCCAGAGCATATTTGCTGATTTTTACAGGGCCACATACCTTCTGTGGCAAAGCCGTACCACACAGCAGCTATTCATTCAATGTCATGGAGTGTTTGCACTTCAGTGTCAGAAAACTAAGTCTCCAGTGCTGCAGCTAAGACAGTGGTGGTGGGGTATAGTGTTATGGACATATAGTTCACACGAATTGTGCACTAGTTTGGACATCTGCCTTCAGATGAAGGGAACTGCATCCCTAGAGAAAAATATTCTTTACCTTTCATAATCAAAGAATATAGAAACAGATATCTGTGTGGGCATAAGTATACACACATATGTATGTGTGTAGCTGTGATGTAAAAATTATAAGATTTTGCACTTGTAAGGTTAAATAATTAAATAACAAATACACTAAAGTGAAAATTAGGATTCAGCTTTAGTATGTCTCACTTGATGGTATGTACAGAGATTTTTGTAACTGCATAACCATGCCCTACTGCAAACACAGTGGACAGCCCTCAGGACTGAATTAAAAAGGTATAAAGCTAAAACCTGAGATCTTTTCATCTAGTACAGAAATTAAATGGGGTCCCTGAGCAATAAAAGCAATGATGCACTTCCCTGCTTTCTGCCTGGGACCCACAGCCATGCTGAAAGCTGTTTTTCAGAAGAGAGGTTCATGCTTTTCCAAAACACTGTTGGTGTAGACATGACGTATCCCGTGTCATAATCCAAACAAATTATATTCACGGTTTCTCCAATCCATCTGTTGCAACAGCCCACAAAACAATTGCAAGCAAATCCATGTTTAACACCGGGAGAAAAGACAATTCTAGGTTATATAAATAGGGAAAACACTCAGTATAAACAGTGAAGTATGTTGTTTCAGTACTAAAATACTTCATTAAGTCTATGAATTTTGAAGGGAAAAGAAACAACAATCGTACGGAGTGCAGGAGACAACTGGACAGAGACAGCAGGCAGGACCTAGAAGACTGTTAGCCCAGGGCTGCATACCACTTCCATTTGATTTTGGATTCACAAGCAATATGTAAATAGCTTCACAGGAAAAGCCAAACTACAGTCTTTCAAGCCAGGGTACTGACTCTTACCCTAACATCTCCAGTCACGCCAAAGAAAAAAACATGTCCAGATTTTCTCTGTAAATAGCATTTTTGCCTCCTATCCTATCAGCAGTATATTCCATTTCATTTGTTACACAGAGAATGGATTTCCATTTAAAATGGTGGTGACTTCCCTGCTTTAACGTTTTTCTCCTCTTTGTGCTAAATTTAAAGAATTTACAACTAAAACAAACAAAAAAATTTTCATGACCAAGTCCAGTACATTTGTCTGTCTCACTTTTCAGTTTAAAATGCCTTAAATAAACTCTGATAAAATTTCATTGCTCTGGGATAGATTTTGATACCTTTCTTTCTCTGTGAATATAGAACACAATAATATTTCATTACTACTGCTTCATCATTACTTGCTGTTACTTCATCACTACTATCACCACTACTTACTGTTAAATGTAAGTGAACACTGCAAAAATATTAATAAAATTACTTTATTCATAATAGCCTCTCTTTTCAGGGGCTCAACAAACACAAGAAGAAACAGTAACTCCAGAATCAGTGTTGCATAGTGTTCAGAAGTGCTTTACCTCATCTGTTCTTTTTCTGGCATGCCCCATAAAATTTTAAATACAGGGGTGAGAAATCCTTCTTTATTGCTGTGCTAATAAGCATTGTCTTCTAACCTCCAGCACTGTACCATTTAATCTCCTTTTTCTAATCTGGAGGACAACAGTGTCACCAGCTGCTTGTATCTTCAGACATACTCTGCCTCTCTGCATTTGAGGAAATATCAGTGAAGGGGAATCTGACAAGGGAATTCTGAACCCTAAATATTGGTGACAAGAAAACAGAGTAATGTCTGTAACACCCCCAAAAAGCTAAAGGAATTTCTTTGTAAGCTAAATGGCGAAAATGAAAGCCATACATCTTTAACTCCTAGAAACATAACATTTTACACAACAATAATAGATTATGCTAAACAATCTCTTTGGCTATAATTAACTGAAGGCTCTGGGAACATCCTCTCCCTCATTTGCCGACTGCACAAACTGACTGCAAAAGTCAAGATCTCCCCAGCACGCAGGATACAAAGCCTAGACTCCCAGGCTAGACAGGAACACACTATCTTCTAACCTGGTGTCTGCTCTGCACAACCACAGGGGCAGATTTAAACATTCAATCAAAAAATGTTCTTTGCTCAAAAAGGAGACTAGGACACAAATTTTCATATTTCAGGTCAAGTCCAAGAGAATGGGGGACGTAGTGTAAGTTATCCCACCTTTCTCTCCTATTGTCTGTCGCAGTGTAGAAGACAAAATTGGACGAGTATACGGCTGAGCAAGGCTGGTGGTCACTACTCACACAGGCAACATGGCACCTGTGCAGAAATATCACACAACTAGCCAGGCCTTAAACAAAAATATGGTAAAAATAATCCCAAATTTCTTTAAACAATAGCTGCCCAGCTTTGCCATTTTAAAAAACATTTGTCATAATCTTCCCTATTCCACAGAAATTTTCAGAGCATATGCAACTTGACGCTGAGTCAGTGGTTTCTGTACCTAGCAACTAAGAACTATAAATAGTGATCCAAAGTGTTTTGCTGGCCAAGGAAGCTATAAAACTATTTTTTCTGAGGCAGAGAACAAAATGGAGCAAGACACAACCTGAATTCAAGAGCTAAGAAGGCACATTTAGAAAGACAGAACTGAGTAAAATCCAAGCACACTGGCAAGCCATGTTTGCTTTCTAGAGGACTGGCCATTGCAAAAACACTGAAGTGTAATCAGGAGATCTGAGGCCAAACTCCTTCTAGGAGATGTTTGGAGCCTAGCATTTACTTGGAGAAGCAGATTACAAATTGCACTGCCTTCTTCCAGGGTAAAGGAGACCCTCAGTGAACATTTTTGAGCTATTAATTAGCACTTTATACCCTTCCTCTCTGACCCTGCATCCACTCCACAGGCAGGGCATCTCCTGTGCTCAAAGAGATCAGCATTACTAGAGGACTTCAAAGTTCAGCTTCTCACAGAACAGCGAAAGAGCAGAGACAAATACAGTATTAGTAAGTTAATTCCCTCCAAATTGAAACTCCCCTTTTGATTTCAGAATTGACTTGCAGAACATAGAATTTATGGATTGTCTTTTTCATTTGCTTATTCTAGTATTAATTTTAGACAAAGAATTAAAATTCAAGATCACCTGACCTCATACTATTTGGCTTAAGTTTTGTAGAGGCATGTTTAACAAAAGGACAAAAGAGTTTTTCTCACAACCCCTTCGTCTTCTGCCTTAAGTCAGCTGAAGATATTTTAGCCATTTACCTGTGAGATTTGGTGCAATCAGAGCGCAGAGGAAGAAACAGATGAGCTTTAGTGACATTTTGCTCACGCTTGTTGACTTTTCCTACATTCATACCCTGTTGTGCAGCTCAGAAGTTCCCCTTCCTAGGTAGGGAGCCCTATCTGAGCCAGCCATGATGTGAGTGAAGTGGAGACTCCAGGGGAATATTGCAAACACCACTTCTCTGCGCCAATGCCACAGACCTACATACATTGTTTGTAAGGGTGTAGTTAGAGGGAGTGTCCAGGTTATCTAATGCCAGCATTTCTTTACAGGTCTGTGCAACTGCTCAACTAGATGGCATAACTCTGTTTCACTTAGTTAGCAATTATATGTATTAAACAAAGACATTATAAGGAGGAAACAGGATTCATTAGATATTTCCATGTAGGTTATATATCTGTAAATGCTCATTTTCCTGCTCAGCCCCCAGACTAGATCAATCCTGATGCTTCCAAGCACCAGGAAAGTTCCCCAGCATTACTAAGGGATGCCTATAACCACAGACCTTACACAAAGAACTGTGTGCCTCTGAGCTGGCAGAAGGGAGTTGTGTGCTTCAATTTATCTTCAAATACTATTTTTATGGCAGCCATGCTGGGTGTGTAATGAGGAGGACATTCTGTTTTCAGATCTGATTTGGTGCATGTATCCCAAGGTTTTTCCATCTTCCAAGGTCCATTGCTCTCCATCTCACCTCTTGAGAAAAGGCAGGCTCTTCAGCTGGATGCAGCTCTGAGATCTTCTTAGAAACCCAAACCACCTGCTGGCTCCAAGGCTGCAGCAGCAGCAGCTACCTTTGTGCTTGTGAGGCTGGTTTCTTCAGAGGCCAAGTGAAAGACAAAATTTAGGTGGAAGCTTTTTATGTTCTACAAAAGGCTATTTAAATTAAATGAAATTCTGACTGTATGGATAATGGGGGAAAAAAGCCAAATCCTATCAAACGCTTTTAGCTCTGATGAAAGCGAGTATTAGAAACCTCTCCTCTAAAACCTCTTCCTCCTCCTTTCTGATACCTTTTAATAGCAAATACATGCCTACTGTTTTCAGTGGTGAATTAAAGGGATCTGTCAAAATGTGTTTAGTCCATATTGTCTCATGAAATAAAGGATTTTATTTATTTATTTATGAAAGAATAAAATTAGTATTCAGTTAATCACAGCACAAGCAGCTGCACCCCAAAGTTTGCTCCATCCTTCTGTTCTCTCCCTTCCTTCCCTCTTTCTTTCACTTCTTCCTTCCTTTGCCTTCTCTGCCCTTCCTTTCCTCCTTTCTTCATTCTTTCTGTCCTCTTTCTTTCCATCCTTCCTTCAATTCCCTTCTTCCTCCATTCCTTCCTCCCTTCATTCCTTTATCCCTTCCATCCCTCCTCTTCCTCCTTCCCTCCCTCCTTTTCCTTCTTCCCTCCATCTTTGGGACAAACTGAAAGGCATATGCTTCTGTATGTTTCCCAAACATGGGAATGTTTTCCTTCCATGGGATGTTCTCTGAAAGTATTTCATAGCTCTCAGGTAAACTTTTATCTTCTTGCTCTTCATTATCCCAATCTCCTGCTATTTTTATCAAATGTCTGTACTGAGAACCAAAAGGTGGGTATTGTGGTGACTTCATTATTGTTGTGAAATGCACGCAATGTCCAAGAGGAAAACATGGATGTGTTTAACAGTATTAGCAATAAGATACTGTGCTTTTGCTGGAAGCAAAATAAGTATTTGCAGAAGACAGACAAAATTTAATCGTTAGTTGAAAAAAATCTGTTCTCTTATAGTACCAAGAAGGTATAAATAAGGCAGTCCTGAGTTTTGAGCTATCATTCAGTTAGGCCTCGATAGCACACCTGATTCTTCACTAGTTTATATCTTGTGGTGCCATAAATATGTGGATGTATACTCTCTGATGAAACATTCAGACCTGAGTTGAAAAGTATCTCAGAAGCCACATGACCTGTAGTGAATTATGCCTCATACCATTCACTTTTATTACTGACACAGATGTACAGAAAAGAGCTGGTGTACAGTTTAAAGGAAATTTATTGGGATCAGGTGCACAGCTAGAAGTTTTCCTTTCCAAAGATTTCTCATTGTCTGTGAGCCAGTCAGCCTCCTTTTCAATGGTGGGGAAAATGAATACAGCCCGATATCACAGTTAATCAGTTATGAGCAATAAAAAAGGTAGAGTGAGTCTGCCATAATAATGAGGATTGCAACTGCTCTGTGTTATCAGCAAGACTCTAAAATGAAAATTATAATATTATTCTACTGTATTTCCTTCCTAGATTATAGCTACCTAAGGCACAACATAAGCATAGAAATGGATTTGTATGGAAGCTGAAGGTAGTGCATACACAGGACTAAGTTGTGCAAAACAGGAGGCTTGGGATAGAAGTGATTATTCAGACTACAGCAACAATAAAATAAAAGTGACAAAATACCTTCTGAGATTTTCCCTTATTTTGAAATGCTGCATGGAAATATTTGGCTTCAAAGAGATAGAAGCAGTCTTTCAATTTTACTGTTTTGCTTTCAGAATTTTATCAGTTTTACAAGTTATTTTGAACTTGATGAAACAAACATTTTAATAACTTTTCCTTCACAATTATGGTTACATTAATGTTTCTGTGAAATATTTTTACATTTTTAAGCATGTATTTCTAAAAATAAAAGTTATTAAGCATGTATTTCTGAAGATAAACATCTGATCAACTTTAGTTTGTGATGCTTGCCTTGTATTTCAAGTAATTCAGGCCAGTAGTTATGCCAGTAAGCCTGGATGTAGAGACCTGATTCAGTTCTTTTCTCACTTGCAGATTTGTGATCTTGGATAAGCAACCTAATTTTTCATCACAAAATGAAGCACTGGACTTAGTTAAAACAACAACTTAAGGAGCTAAGAAATGAGAAAAAGATTAAAAATTCACAGATCAGTAGAAGTCAGTCAAAACTGGAACTGCATCAGTAAGAAATTATGGGTAATTTCCAACAATTGCCTACTTTGGAGGTACTCTGGATTATTTTTGCTCATACAAATCAATGCAAAATGTTCCAAAACTATTTGGATGGTCAGTTTAGCACAGTTTACCATCAGCATCACAATCATTGGCTCAGGAGGTGGACAGAAATGGGATTCTGCTACACTGAATTTGACTAGTATCATTTTGATGATACTCAAAATCTACATTCATAAAAAAAGCAACTGTATAGCCCTTGACACGCTGTTTCAAGTCATCCACCACTTTAACCTTACAAAGAAATAGTGGAGACCTGGATAGAAAGGAAATGGGCACAATATGCAAACAGAGTTGAGCTTTTGGTATGTTTAATACAAATGAGGACTCCTAAAATAAATTGGCAATAAATTGATTTATTAATACTTGGGTAGCCTTGGCTTTGCAAGTGAAAGTCAGTAGAAGAAAGACAAAGACATACTGAGAAACTGTGGAATTTGCTATAGAGTTTTAACAATTTTTGTAGTAGCTCATGAGGAAAAAATGCTGCCACTGTCAAGAAAAGGAAAAATTGACTGCCCTAGGGCCTGTGAGTATAGTTCTGTTTCTAGTATGTGTGACTGAACAGGGGAATTCTAAAATAGGCTATGACATTTGCCAAACATATTTGCAACAATGATCGTTCAGTTTGTAAAACAGAGGAAATCAGTAATGCAAAAAGTTAAGGAAAACAGTTCAATTATTTACTACTATTCTGAAAAAAAACCCAACACCAACCCAAACAAACCCTGCTCAAAACCCAGAAGGACGTTTACAAACATAAGGCTTGCTGATAGATATGTCAACATTTCCTAAGGGAATACCCAATTTAGAAGGATATCAAAGCAAAATATGTAAATCTGATTGGTTCGTTTACATTCTTAGTAAATCACAGGAAGTTTAGCTGTGAGACTAGCTATTAGGTGTAACAGATTTGCTAGGTGAGTGGAAATCACAGAAATGGTTAAGAAAGCTTGAGAAAAACCATTTGTGCTGGGGAAGAAGTAGTTACCAAACTGAGCTATGCAATTAGTTGCAGGAAGAGATAATATATATGAAATAGGCACTTACTTGGAAATAGGTTTGAAATGTGTGCTGCTAGAACTTGGGAGGGAATTACTGATAGCCAAAGAGATAACTGCTAAGAATACTTGCTTGGATTTCCTTATGATAACAAACATATATAAAGGCTCAGTTGGTATCTTGTAAATTCTTTCTGAGGAAGATCCTTTTAAACATGTGCATCAGGTAGAACAAGAAGTTGACAGACTTTTCAGTGATGAATGGTCCTGCATCTGGGGACAGACTTTTGGTACTATTGCCACCGTGGTAGCCAAGAATAGTGTTCTGGCAAAAGATGTACAGGGATGGCTTGTATATAACTTGGAGTCTCAGGCAAATCTTTTCTGTATCTAAAGCAATGATGACAGAGACCTGTTCTCTTTGCTTAGCTTTTTTGGATAAAATGCAAAGAGCGAAAAGGCATAGTTGCAAAATGTGAACTGGAAGGCCTTGTTAAAACTTGCCAAATAAAATAAGTTTAAGGGAAAAATGGATGAACATGTGCTTCCAGAGTGCCTTCTGGGTTTGTTGCGACACAGAACTGAAAACTCAAGTTGCTTCAGTGTAAGGAAGCAGAGTGGTCTGGCTAGGAATCTGTTCTTGTATAGAGAACAGGTCACACTGCCCTGGCAAAGTGTATAATTGATATTGTAGGAAACCAGATTATTAAGTAACCTCCTCACCATTAATCAGTAGAAAAGAAAGAAGTTTGACAGTTAACTGAGAAAATGCATGAAGAACTGCCACTTTAGTCCTGGAACATAGATTTAGGCAAAAAATACATAGCTACACTGGTTCTTACGTGAATTACAGAAAATGATTTTAAATTAATTTATGGCTCTTACTGCAAATAAGCAATACTGTGGAAGCCATACCTAATTCAATTTGGGTTGTTCACATGTGGCTATTTGCAAGGAAAATGGATTGAAGGAACAGAAGAGAGAAGACCCAGGTAACAATTTGAAAAGAAAGCTTTCAGCTTTCAGTCATATTT